TTTTTTTTTTTTGCAACATTGAGACATATTTAAAGGAGGAAAAAATGATGCCTTGGCAAATAGCTTTTATTTATTTATTTATTTGTTTGTTTGTTTATTTATTTCAGTTAAATTTAATTTTATTTAATTTATTAATTTTTTTAGTAACATTGTGCATCCAGAGAGACGTATTTAAAGGAGGAAAAATGTGTCTTTGTCTTGTGATGCGCTGTTACAGCATTAACGAATGAGACGCAGATGGAATCGACTCTTTAAACAATTAAACAAATGCAACAAACATTCATCTGGAAGTGATTTCATTAATGTCAAGTATAACATCTGTAAAGAACAATTACTAACACAGTTTCTTTCAGAGCTTTCATCTAAAATCTATTAATCTATTAATCCGCGTGTTGTGATGGTTTGTTGTGTTTTTCTGTGTAGAATCAAAGAAGAATCGCTCAGCTGAAGTCAGGAAGTCAGTGTTTTGTTCAGTAGCTTACTGGTGTTTGTTAGCTTCCTGAGGTTTGATGGTTTGTCTCTTTTCGCTGAAAGATTTGCTTAACGAACTACAGTACAAACCTGTATTTCTAATTCAGTCTTAAACTTTTCTCAGAGAAGATCAGCATTCTTTCAAAAGTGTTTGGTTTCGAAAGGATCTGCTCAATACTGGTAACATGTGACAGCAAAACAATACATGAAATATGAAGAATATCATATTCATAGTGCTCTGATTCTGTATTTGTCATGGTTAGGATGCTGCTTTGCAGCTCAGCTGTTCTGAGTGTTTTTACTGTGTTATTATGAGGTTTCCAGAGCATTCTGGGAGGTTGTTACACTGTAAAAAAAATTCCGTAAAATTTACGGTAAAAAAAACGGCAGCTGTGGTTGCCGGAATTTTACCGTTAAAAAATACGGTAGCAACATTTTAGGTTTTACGGTTTTAACTTAAATGTGCGGTTAAATACCATCATTTCTGAATGAAATAAAAACTGAATTGTAGCTTTGTAATGCACTGATAACCACCAAAAGCAGGAGGTGATGAGAAAGTCACATGATGAACCAAAGCCCATCACAAGCAGCTTTTAAATAATAACATATATAGAAGATGCACAGCGTTATTCACACAAACACTAAACACCATCACGGTAACACACATGAAACTGAAATAATGCAATAAACATTCATTTAACAACATTAGGTGTAACACACAACTCTAATATACAAAACTGATAAGAAAAAACTAAGAAGAAACATAGTTATTTCAACAAAAAAACATCCAATTTGAAATGTAACGCAGGGAATTCTGGGAATGTCAATTTACGGTTATTCACTGTAAATTATACGGTATTTTTCACTTCCAAAAATGGTATATTACTGTAAAATTAATGTCCAATACATGTAATGTCCAATACAGTTTTTCACTGTATATAGTAGGGGAATTTACCGTTAACCATTTAACAGGTTTTTACTGTAGCATTTTTACAGTCTTTTACCGTTAAATTCACGGCCATTTTTTACAGTGTAGGCACTACAAGTAATTTTTGATTCTCTGATCGTAATGTTCTAGGAGGATTATATGGGATTGAAAGGTTTGCCAAATACAATGGGGCCTGGTTGTTTAAAGATTTGAACACGAACAATAACATTTTATATTTAATTCTAAAATGGACTGGGAGCCAATTTAAAGAAACTAACACAGGTGTAATTGATTCATATTTCTTTACCTCTTTACCTTTTTTAGTAATCTCGCCGCAGCATTTTGTACTGGTTTTAGTCATTTTGTACTGCGTTAGCCATGGCTGACTAACACGATCGTTGACTTTATTTAATCATATGAAATGTATATATTATATTCATCTCTTGGCAACGCCACTGAAATAGTGTTTTTGAAATAAAATAAATAAATAAGCAGCGGGAGCGTCTTCTCTTCTTCATCTATCGCTCGTCCTGTAGGAGGCGCTCTGACGATCTTTAGTTCTCCGGTGAAACCACCGAAGAAGAAGAAGGAGACTGAGCACTCAGACGGTTAGTGTTTAGTCTGTTTACATTATTCATGTGTTTTAGATGTTTATACGTGCATGTCGTTAATTTTCTATCGCTAGTGTAGAAATCTGACAATATCTGAGTTATATCCAGCTTTGTGCTGACTCAATATTGAAACACATCTGAAATAAACATTGTGATAATATTCTCATGTTTTCTTTAATAACAAGTCAGTTCTGTGTAGTTCAGCTCACATGTAAACAATCCTTTTGAGGTTAAATCAGTGTTTATTCATTATGAATGCGTCTTTAATAATCCTGCTGTGTGTGTGTTCAGATGCTGAGCATGAAAGCGCAGGTGGATGTGGTCTGCTGTAAATCAGTAGGAACTGATCTGTCCATGCTGGATATTGAGGATTTCATCACAGAAATCTGTCAGCTGAAGAAAGAGGTGGCTTCACTGGAGGCAAAGCTGAGAGAAAGAGGAGACCAACTGAACAGAGAGGTTTGAGCAGCTCTTCAGTTCATCTTCAGCTGCTAATATGGACTGATTGTTATGTGAATTAATGTCTTGTTTTTAATCATACTCTTACTAGATGTATTACTGATTGTGTTTGTCAGGATGTGGAGCAGGTTTCAGTGCGTGCGGCTGATGGGACAGAAGCTCAGGATTCAGTCTGGAGCGTCAGAGATCAGAGATCCAGAGACACACAGGACTCAGAGCTCAGCCTCACTTTACTCTGTTATACTGACGCTCAGGATCATGAATCCACTGATCAAACCTCTGACTGTAACGCTGGAGAACAGCAGATGCTGCAGACGCCGCTGAAGATGTGCTCCGTCAAACTGCTGGACTGCAGGAACCTGATGGAGAGCCGAGGAGAAGAAACCACCGCAGAGAAAGAACAACAACACAGTGATGAGGAAGAGGAGGAGGAGGATGAGAATAATGGGGATGATGATGAAGGTGACTTTGTTCCTTCAGGTATGTTTTTTTCTTTTTATGACCATGATATGCCAAGTTAACAGAATTATTAAGAAATTGTAAAATATTGTGTATGTACTACTGTGACTAAACCGGTATTTGCGTCCAAAAATATTAAAGGAACACTCCACTATTTTTGAAAATAGGCTCATTTTCCAGCTCCCCTAGAGTTAAACAGTTGAGTTTTACCGTTTTTTCGAATCCATTCAGCTGATCTCCGGGTCTGGCGGTAGCACTATTAGCTTAGCTTAGCATAGATCATTGAATCTGATTAGACCGTTAGCATCTCGCTCAAAAGTGACCAAAGAGTTTCTATATTTCTCCTATTTAAAACTTGTCTCTTCTGTACTTACATCGTGTACTAAGACCGACGGAAAATGAAAAGTTGAGATTTTCTTGGCCGATATGGCTAGGAACTATAATCTCATTCCGGCGTAATAATCAAGGAGCTTTGCTGCCGTACCATGTGTGCAGCAGGTGCAATGATATTACGCAGTGCCTGAAAATAGGCTAACTTCCGCCAACATAACCAACGTGACCACCTGCTTGCACAGGGAGCGTGCTGGGGACTATTTTCAGGCGCTGGAAGAAAGACATGACAACATTTATAGGATCCCAAACTACACTCAATGGCCAACTGATGCTGACATTGTGGTCTATGACATTGGCACAGATTCTGTGTAATAAACAATTCTTTGACCGTGTATAGTTCTCAAGTTGGAAAAGGTGTTTAGTTCACACTTTAAGTGAACCTTAGTTCCCAGGACGATTACAAAAAAGCTGATCAAGACACAAAAAGATGAGACATAAACACACAACGACAGTATGACTGAAATGTTAGTGTCAAAAAAATACAAATAAAATACGTTTATTCTGTGGCACCTTCACAGAATAAACGTGCAGAATCTAACCGTACTGTTCTGCACCCACGGTTCGGCACGCACTTGCACCACAGTTCAACTTAAATCTGACAACGCATCTGTTTGTAATAATCTAATCTTATTGTAAACCGGTATTTATTAAATCATTTTATTTAGTGAAGCACAACCCTCATAGAATGAATGTGTGTATTATTTGGTAACTAATGTATTTGCAGTCCGTGTGTTTCACTTCGCAAATGGGGGTTGGGCACCCACCGGCAGAAACATAAATCGGGAATTATACAAATGAATATATGAATGAATTCATTATATGAATGTACCTCTGAAGGTTCATCTTCCCTCTATGTAATACCTAAAGAAGTGTTCTTAATTGCAATGCTGCTTTGTCTACGGAGTTCACGGGCAACGGCTCTAATTCAGCTTTTCCAGAAGCGCCACCTGCTGTCAGCGAGTGGATTTACAGAGACTTACATTCACGTTCAGTTTCTGTCTGGCCAAAAAACAGACCGAATTTGCATGCTCTGCTGTTTGATGAAAAACAAGCTTATGGATTCTACACATTTAAACAATTCAGATAAGTTATCTAGAATTCTTTATGGAGCAGATAAAATGCATACATTTATTGATTAATCAATTATCATTTTGACTTAACCCTTTTCATTATTTAAAGACTGAAACGTGAGGTTTACCATTTTATGAAACTTTTTCAAAGCTTTATTTGAACATTTGCGTTAGTTGAACGTGCTATTGGTAATGTTATTGTTTTAGTGATTATGCAAACAAAATTTTTATTTTTTTACATTTTATTTGTTGATTTTAAATATAAAAGTTGAAGTGATTTATGTGTCGGTACTTTTTGAACATCTCCAGCACATGTTAACAATACCGTGATAATACTGATAACCGTGATAATTTTGGTCACTATAATCGTGATAAGAAATTTTCATACCGTTACATCCCTAAGTGACTGATACAAACCGAACCATAAATAATTTGAACCACTGCACCTTTTTTTCTGGACTTGAATTGGCCTGGTTTTGCAGATGACGTTGTAAATGATGTGTGTTTTCGGAGGGAAGTATGGTAATTTATTTTACAGTTTTTTTGCAAATATTTGACGTATTTTAATAACTAATAATATGTTTTTTTTTGCTGTATTTGCCTTGTTTTGATATGTTTTGCTGTTGTATTGTTTACTCGGCAGGGTAATTGATTCATTTTTATAATTTTATTTTGTTATCATCATTTAGTTTTAAGGTGGCAAATGGTCCTTGGTTGTCATGACAACATAACTTTATTACAGTATTTTGTCAGTCAATGTTTTGGTGAGCTTTTGGGCTGGAAATTGTCGACCCAATCTGGCGACACTGCCACACATCAGACTTTGTGTTCATTTAAATCACAGCCTTTGCAGTTTGATAACCGCACTAAGATCATTTCAGGTTTATTTTGACGGATCGTCCAGCTCTAGAATTTAAAGAGAAAGTTAAATATTTTATGACCATTTTGTTACTTTCAGACAATGCTGGAGAAACTGCATCTACATCCAAAGAGCGATGGACAGTGACGGACTGTGGAAAGAAATTCAGCAAACAGGGTCATTTAATGAGACATGAGAAAAAACACAGAGAACAGGAAGACTTCATTAGCAAGAGTTTTCCTACCTTAGCAGATAAAACACTTCATTCAAAAGAGCACCGCGTGAAGAAGGAGTTTCGCTGTGAACAGTGCGGGAAGGATCTTTTCACCACTCTTCATTGTATGAGAGCTCATATAAAGACACACGAGGAAAAGTCTTTCCAGTGCAACGAATGTAGCAAGTTTTTCCGCAACAATAGTAAACTTTCTATTCACAAGAGGATCCACACGGGTGAAAAGCCATACAAGTGCCCTCACTGCGAGAAGAGCTTCACCCAGGGCTCTAATCTGAAGGACCATCTATTTACACACACCAACGAAAGGCCGCATCAGTGCAGTGAATGTGGCAAGTTGTTCAACATCAAACAAAATCTTTCACGTCATAAGAGGGTCCACACGGGTGAAAAGCCATACAAGTGTCCTCACTGCGAGAAGAGCTTCACCGAGGGATCTAGTCTGAAGAAACATGTGCGTTTGCACAGCAATGAGAGACCGTATCAGTGCAGTGAATGTGGGAAAACCTTTATAAGCTCAGGTTCTCTAAATTTTCACCAAAAAGTACACTCTGATGACAAACCGTATCAGTGTTCACACTGTGAGAAACGTTTCCATCATTTGAGTCACATGAAAACCCACGAGAGGACTCACACCGGAGAGAAACCGTACCTGTGCTCCGACTGCGGGAAGAGCTTTTCTAGTTCATTTTCTTTAAAAGTTCATCTGAGAATTCACTCGGGAGAAAGACCGTATCCCTGTAGTGATTGTGGGAAGAGGTTTTATAAGCTAAGTGATTTAAAAAAACACCAGAGGACTCATACAAGAGAAAAACCTTTTAAATGCTCACTTTGTGACAAGACTTTCGCTGTATCAACTTCCCTGAAGATCCATAAACGAATGCATACAGGAGAGAAACCTTACTGCTGCTCCATCTGCGGCGAGAGATTCGCTTTTAAATGGGGTTTTCAGACACACAAGAAGAAACACGCTGCCCCAGAATCATCATAGCTTCATCATTTTAGGTTGTGTAAAAATGTAGTGCTACGGGAACATTATTTTATGGTTGTAAAAAATAACCCCTTAAACTAAAATGTCTCTAGAACATTATTTACTGGGTAGAAATAAATCGTTTGGATGTAAATTCACTGTAATGTGCAGATCAGTGTCTGATATTGGATTTTTGAACTGAGCTGGACAGTGACATCACTGAATAAACAATGAACTGACTTTAGCTTCACAGCAGAATTGAATTTTGTTTGGGTTTTTTTGTGCTACACTGTAAAGCTGCTTTAACACAATAAGCCCTATTAAAGACTAGAGAAACAACCTCTTTCAGAAGACGGATTCAAACTGGTTCATCTTCACTAACAACCTTTTCTTACATGAGGAAATGAAAGCCGCTGCTTGCATTTAAGCTGAAGTCTCTCCAAAGTCAATGAGAGGTAACCTGCATATTTGATTAATTTCCTGGTGTGAACTATATGAGCTGATTCGTCTGAGTGAGTGTACGCCTCACACCTGGAACGGCCGTATTGAACAGACAGAAAGCGACAGAAGACCTGTGTATGGCAGGACTAAAGCTTTGTGTGACGTGTCCCAGCAGAATGCTTTCATGTGTCTTTAAAGGTCAAGCCTCTCGTCATCCAGGACATGACAGATGCTCTATATCTTTGACTCTCTTATAGTCTGTTCGCTCTCCGTAGAGGTTGCTGTTAAGGTCAAAAGGTGACTTTAGATGTTTACAAACTCTGCTTTACCATATTCAATGATAATGTCCTTGCCATGCAAATTTACCTGACTATTGCTGAACTATTTATCCTCTCATGAGCAGATCCAACTAATCAGATTGCAACACTCCTCCTTGACCAGGAGGTAGCAACAACATGTTATACATGTCAGTTAGACTACTTCATGTCTAATTGGACAGCTCTTGGCCAAAATACTGAGAAATATTAAAGGGGTCATGACATGAGAAACCAAATTTCCCTTTATCTTTTGACACAGAAGAGGTCTTTGTATGCTTAATACATCCTGCAAGTTTCATAACTTAAAGGGATGGTTCACCCAAAAAGGAAAATTCTGTCTTTAATTACCTACCCTCGTGTCGTTCCAAACCCGTAAGACCTTCGTTCATTTTTGGAACGCAAATTATGATATTTTGGATGCATTATGAAAGCTCTCTGACTCTCCCATAGACAGCAATGTAATTACCACGATCAACGTCCAGAAACGTAGCATTTAACCAAAATCTATCTAATTTTAGTCTAAAGTCAATGTGATTAGAATTTGATGAGTTTTTCTAAGTTATATATTATTCACTATCAGTCTTAGATTTTTTTTAAATTTTTTGTAATGGAATTTTGTGGAAATCCAATGGAAGATAATCACACAGTCTTTTTATTACGTGTTTATTTGACTTGAATGCCAACGTGAAAGCATCTTTCCATCGTGGCATTTCAGAAATATTCAAAATGGCAGAATATAAACAGACGAAACATGTTAACAACTTAGCAAAACTTCACGTTTGTTTCGTCTCCGAGCTTCATCGTCTTGAAGGTCTGAAGTCTCTAATGTCCTCATAATTAATGGGTAGATTTTTACAATCAGCAGGTCTGTGATTAAGCTGTTGGGAGGTAAAAGCAGAGAGAGAAGAACTGAGGATTTAATGACATAAACACTATTATTTTAACCACTTAATGGAGTGCTAGTGATTTCCAAAGTGTTTTACATTTGACAAACCTATTTGAAAAATCTTCCCCAAAGCCACTAGAAGGCCAGCCTGCAAGCTTAAGCCAAAAAAGCGTAACAGCGAATGCTAACGCTTCTGCTTAGGCCATTTTTTTTTTAATGGATATCAATGGAGTTATAGGCTTCAATGCTCTGAATAAACCCAAACGGCTTATCATTTAATCATCTAATCTTCAACATGTTTTACACTAAACAATACTTTTGGATTGAACTATTTTTAGAGTTTACCACAAAAAAAAATTCTGTTTTATAAGAGAAGTCACTGACTTTTTGTGACAGATGGGATTCAGTTTACGGCTCTTCCCATTCATTTCTATGGGATCCGTAAACTGTGATTGAGTGTCGCACAACTCTGATTGAAATTCAGTGACATCAAGGCTGTAATGTGATTGGTTAAGGCACACGTGTTAGCCGTTACGCTTTCTCCACACTCTAAAAAATGCTGGGTTGTTTCAACCCAACTTTGGGTCAAATATGGACTAACCCAACTTTTGGGTTAAACATTTAATGTAAAAATTTAACCCAAAAGTTGGGTTAGTCCATATTTGGCCCAAAGTTGGGTTGAAACAACCCAGCATTTTTTAGAGTGCAATAGTAATACAGACTCTCTCATCTCCTTATAGTAAGCAAAAGTCTCACGATTTATTTCAAAACATGATGCATGATGGGATACACTAAGCCTCGAATAGCGCTCCGGAGCGGTTTTCAAGTTAGTGTTGATTTAGTGTGCGTTAAGGTCACTGCACTTTGGCGTTTTAAAGGTGCACTAAGTGACTTTTTCCAAAACACTTTTGACCAGTGTCGGATCGAGTCCCAAAACACACTTGTAGCCAATCAGCAGTAAGGGGGCGTGTCTTGTAATGACAGAAGAGAGCGCTCAATTTGAGTGCACAGGACGGATATTAGCAGATTGATTATAGATAAAGAGAGATGACAGATTAAAAAAAAGAGGAAAATATCGGAGAAGCAAAACATGAAAAAGAAGGGTTACGATGATTGCGTAAATATCGGAGCAGCTTTCCAGCGCTGGAGAGAACGCAAGGAGCAGGAAGGGCTCGAATCGGACGCCGAGGTTGCGTTGTTTCTTCTTGATAGGTGAGTAACGTTGATTTTGCTTTGTTTCACACAACTTATTTGTGTTGGCTTCTGTTTGAATATGCTTGTGTGTCATCTTCACTTGTTTCCACGATCGTTGTTATGCCAGGGTTGTGTACGTACGTGTGGGGCAGAGATTTCAAAATAAGGTTGAGGTCCTGTTGGGGTATGCGTTTGTTTTGGTGCTTTCAAATATCAACATCATTTGGCAAAAATCGCTTAGTGCACCTTTAAGACCTGGGACAGTCTTCCACTGCATGGTTCGATTCACTTTTGGGGGGTTTTCCACTGGGTACAGTACCTGGTACTTTTTTTCAAATATGGACTAACCCAACTTTTGGGTTAAACATTTAATGTAAAAATTTAACCCAAAAGTTGGGTTAGTCCATATTTGGCCCAAAGTTGGGTTGAAACAACCCAGCATTTTTTAGAGTGCAATAGTAATACAGACTCTCTCATCTCCTTATAGTAAGCAAAAGTCTCACGATTTATTTCAAAACATGATGCATGATGGGATACACTAAGCCTCGAATAGCGCTCCGGAGCGGTTTTCAAGTTAGTGTTGATTTAGTGTGCGTTAAGGTCACTGCACTTTGGCGTTTTAAAGGTGCACTAAGTGACTTTTTCCAAAACACTTTTGACCAGTGTCGGATCGAGTCCCAAAACACACTTGTAGCCAATCAGCAGTAAGGGGGCGTGTCTTGTAATGACAGAAGAGCGCGCTCAATTTGAGTGCACAGGACGGATATTAGCAGATTGATTATAGATAAAGAGAGATGACAGATTAAAAAAAAGAGGAAAATATCGGAGAAGCAAAACATGAAAAAGAAGGGTTACGATGATTGCGTAAATATCGGAACAGCTTTCCAGCGCTGGAGAGAACGCAAGGAGCAGGAAGGGCTCGAATCGGACGCCGAGGTTGCATTGTTTCTTCTTGATAGGTGAGTAACGTTGATTTTGCTTTGTTTCACACAACTTATTTGTGTTGGCTTCTGTTTGAATATGCTTGTGTGTCATCTTCACTTGTTTCCGCGATCGTTGTTATGCCAGGGTTGTGTATGTGCGTGTGGGGCGGAGATTTCAAAATAAGGTTGAGGTCCTGTTGGGGGTATGTGTTTGTTTTGGTGCTTTCAAATATCAACATCATTTGGCAAAAATCGCTTAGTGCACCTTTAAGACCTGGGACAGTCTTCCACTGCATGGTTCGATTCACTTTTGGGGGGTTTTCCACTGGGTACAGTACCTGGTACTTTTTTTAGTATCACCTCGGTTGAGGTTCCAAGTGAACCGTACCGTTACCAAAACATGACGTGTAAACTCTGTTGATCACGGATTGGCCGGAGAGAATCGTCACTACCTGCGTCACTGAACTTGCGACACAAACACAAAAGAACCGCTAGATTTAAATCAGCACAGCCAGCGAAGGATCGAACGCAACCGTTTTGAAGCCGTGCCGAGCCAAGTCGTACCACGCAGTGGAAAAGCGCCATTTGTGTCGCGCACGCACGTGCTCAAGCGGTCAAGGGGGGTATTTGTGGGTATTTGGACAAGTCACATCCTGAGTCTTCCCTGAGTTTGACGCACCTCTCACAGTGACTTTGGTCAGCGCTTCACTGGAGCCCACGTGATTGGTCGCCACACACTTATACGTGCCGCTGTCCAAAACTTTCAGCTGCGCGATCTTCAGCAGGCCGTCTTTGGTGGTCTCTGCCCCCGGCGGCATGGAGGCTCCGCCCACACGCGTCCAGCGGAAGCGGATTGGATGAGAGCCGTGAGCGAGACACTGCAGACGCAAGGCGTCACCGGGACGAGCCACTGTCTCCTCCGTCAGTGTGGTGGCGTACGGAGGCGCTGAGGACGAGAGCACACAGTTCATATGAGGGATGGGTTCAATGGGTTAATCTCATGATAACTGTCACGAACATGTCCATCTCTATCTCACCGCAAAATCCAGTAAACGGGAAATTAGGATCATTAGGAATTATTTTGGGCAACAAAAAAAAAAATCTAATTTTCATTGCTGTAAAAAAAGATATGAATTTTTTATTTTATATACAGTGTTCTTTACTGTATTGTAGTTTACTGTATTTATAAATGAAAACACAAAACAATCAAAATGTGTTCATAATGTATTTTTAATGTATAGGCTACATTATGTATCACATTGTGTGTGTGTGTGGTGTGCAATGTGACTGTGAACATGTATTCTCATGAAAACTGTTTGATTAATAAGTGATGTTTCCGCACACTCCATCATCATTTACACGCATGCTCTTTCGCTGCGCTCCCTGACTGTGTGTGATTGCATTCGTCTGAGTTTAATGCTGCTGTCAAACGCAGTTTCTCCCTTTATCTGAAACTAAACTCCACCTGATGACTTTTGCTGCTCTT